GTTTAGGGTTTAGGGCTTCCGGGGTTTAGGGTTTCGGGGTTTTGTAGGGTCTATAGAGTTCTGAAAGGGTGTGTAAAGGGTTTTGAGATTTTTGTTGTACCGAGTTTTTAGGTTTTTAATAGAGGTATAGGGTTGTAAAGAGGGAGGGCTCTATAGGGTTGTCAAGGGTTCTACAAAGGTTTATCGCCCCGAATAAGACCCGGTTTCTCCAAGGGCTTTCAAACACGACTCACACAGGGGGTTTAGGGTTCAGGGTTTAGGGTTTAGGGTTTAAGGTTTCGGGAACTGAAACAACAGCAAAGCGGGTGTTTAGCTTGTTGGTAAGGGTTTTCAGCGTTTTGAGATTTCGCATTTTGCCTTTTCGAGGTTCGTGGTGTTTGCGGGGCGATGCCGTTCCCTCGCCGGCGAACACACCTCCTTCGAACGAGAACCCAGAGAGCAGTTGTGCTGACAACAGGAAGGCACCCACAGAAAACTGGGTTGCTGCTGAGGAACTTAAACTAAGTCACTATACTAAGTAGTAAATCCTATTATTTACTATATAGCAACATTATGGTAACTAAAAAAGCGTTCCTGAACAGCAACCCAGTAAACGGATGCAGAAGGCCAGAGACCCGCTCATCTGAGATGCCGGCGAGAGCAAAGAGAAAAGTTCTCGGACGTAGAAAGCCCAAGACCTCGCCGAAGGACCCACAGGCTTAGGGTTTAGGGGTTTACAGTTTAGGGGTTTAGGGTTTAGGGTTTAGGGTTTAGGGTTTCGGGGTTTACGGTTTAGGGTTTAGGGGTTTACAGTTTCGGGTTTAGGATTTCGGGTTTAGGGTTTGGGGTTTAGGGGTTTAGGGACCTTAAACCCTAAACCCTAAACCCTAAACCCTAAACCCTAAACCCTAAACCGGTTTAGGATTTAGGGAAGAGGTGCTGAAGGCACCTAAAGTAAACGGAAGTGGAGGGCCGGACCTCGCCAAAGGATCCGCGCTCATTTGGATTTAGGGCTTTTTGGGTTCTACTTAGGTTTAGGGTTTAGGGTTTAGGGTTTAGGGTTTAGGGTTTAGGGTTTAGGGTTTAGGGTTTAGGGTTTAGGGTTTAGGGTTTAGGGTCGGGGGACTTAGTAAGTAGTTAGTTTATGGAGTTTTGAGTATCATAACCCCTGTTAGGGTACTTATAACTCTACTAATTACCTACTTCCTGAGTCTCACGACCCTCCAAGTGCATGTCGGATTGCGGAATCAGGCGTCAGGATTTCAGAGCTTCAGGGTGTAGGCTTTGGGGCTCTACGTTCAGCCCTAAACCCTAAACCCTAAACCCTAAACCCTAAACCCTAAACCCTAAACCCTAAACCCTCAAAGTCCGTGGATGCCTCCAGGGAGGCCCAACAATCGAAACCCCTCAGGGGCAAGGCCGAGAACCAAATGCCTTGAACCAGAACCCAAACTCCAGGCCCTGAATTTAGGGTTTAGGGTTTAGGGTTTAGGGTTTAGGGTTTAGGGTTGAGGCTGAAATCCCAAACCCTGTTTCTGGTTCAGATCCCTCGCAGAATTGTTTCGAACTCTACTTAGAGGATCAGGGGACTTAGTAAGTAGGGTTAGAAGTACCCTAAGTAGGGTTATACGTAGATATAACCATAGTTACCTTACTTATGCCCCTACTTACTAAGTCCCATGGTCCTCCAACCACTCCCAAGCTTAAGCGAGAAACCCCAAGTCCTCAACCCTTCACCCTCAGCCCTATTCCCGACCGGTGTTTTGGGTATAGGGTTCAGGGGGCAGGCTTTAGGGTTATTTAGGGTCTGGGGTTCAAGGGCTCAGAATTAGGTTTAAAGCGCCGGAACCTTAAGCCCACAACCTGAACCCTAAGTCCTAATGGCTTATTGTTTGCGCTGCCTCATGCGCAGGATGCTGAAGGGCTGACGGCCTTCATCACGAAGCCAGAGGTCGAGATTCGGGGTTTTACTGGGGGTTTACAAGGGCTGTTTCAGTGCCAATAAATGTCATGAAGGGGCTTAAGAAAGGGGTTATTGGGGATTGGGTTCAGGGTTTCAGGTTTTCGGGTGCCGAAACCGAAAAGCTTTGGAGAACATGTTGCGACTTCATAAAGATGCAAGAGCTCGTAAGGCTGTAGTCGTGCGGGAACGTTGCATAAGTACTCTGCAGATCTCTATCAAAAAGTCGGAAACCCCATGTAACAACAACAAGAACCCAGCCCTTCGAACCCTTCCATCCCAAGTCTTAAGCCATAAACCCGAAGCCCTACGCCCCAACGCTCAAAAACAAGAGAAAAACTCAGATCCCCAAAGAAACAAAGCCCGCAGGCCCTAACCCTAAACCCTAAACCCATAAACCCAAGGACCAAACCTCAAAAAGAAGCGCAAAACCCCAAACTCCGCGAAAAACACGGAAGCACAAGCTCCACAAGCTCCTCCGAACCCTACGCCCCGAAACCCCGAAGACCTAAAGCCCGAAAGCTTAAAACCCTAAACCCTCAACCCCTAAAGCCCTGAACCCTAAGCCCTACACCCAAATTCCTAAACCCTAAAACCTAAAGCCCTAAACCCTAACCCCTGAAACCCTAAACCCCTAGACCCCAAGTCCCTAAACCCCTAAACCCCTAAACCCCTAAACCCCTAAGCCCCTAAACCCCTAAACCCTTAAGCGCCAAGTCCCTAAGGTGGAGGCCCGCAACGTGAAGAGGGTCATCCTCAAGGTTCGACGTCAGTGGCTCTTTCAGGGTTCACTAGTACGGAGTCCTTCAAGGGTTTAGGGTTTAGGG